GTGTGTGTGGAGGACTCGGTGGCACACAGATTCAGAGAGGAGAGCATGCAGATTGGCAACATGAGAGCCTTACGACAAGCTCACATAGTAGTGTTAGTTGCTCAGTCATGTCCAACTCTTTGCAATCCCATGGACTATAGCCTGCCAGGTTCCTCTATAAGATACCTTGAATTTAAGTAGAGCCAGAAGAATGTTGGGGGAAAGTGTTGCTGTTTGTATATCATCAGTTCAGTTCGGTTCAGTTGCTCAGTCATGTCAGACTCTTTGCGACCCCATGAACTGCAGCATGCCAGGCCTCCCTGTCCATCATCAACTGCCGGAGTCCACCCAAACCCATGCCCATCAAGTTGGTGATGCCATCCAACCATCTCATTCTCTGTCGTCATCTTCTCCTCCTGCCTTCAATCTTTCCCAGCATCAGGGTCTTTTCCAATGAGTATTTTCCAAAGCGAAGGTCTTTTCCACCTTCGCATAAGGTGGCCAAAGTATTGGAGTTTCAGCTTCAACATCAGTCCTTCCAATGAACACCCAGGACTGATTTCCTTTAAGATGGACTGGTTGGATCTCTTTGCTGTCCAAGGGACTCTCAAGAGTCTTCTCCAACACCACAGTTCAAAAGCATCCATTCTTTGGTGCTCAGCTTTCTTTATAGTCCAATTCTCACATCCATACATGACTACTGGAAAAACCATAGCCTTGACTAGACAGACCTTTGTTGACAAAGTAATGTCTCTGCTTTTTAATATGCTGTCTAGGTTGGTCATAACTTATCATCAGGGGATCACAAATAATGGAAGAATAGAAAATTAAAAACAGTGGATAAAATGCTTATGGTCTCCACCCTTATATTTTAATACTTGGGGCAGGGGATAAAAGAAATCATGAGATAGTAATCTCAATTAAATAACTAACTCTGTTAATGGTGTTTGCTTATGTCCCATAATAGCAGATATACCACCAGATGGTAAATTTTACCCAGTAAATGTAGCTTCAAAGAGCTCAATTAAATGAAACCTTCTTGTGGGTCTACCATATAGCAATTATGCCCCTAAACATGTGTATTTCAATTTATAAGAGTTGAAGCATAGTTTAAATATATGAGGAGATTCATTTTTTATAAAAACCAGTGAGCATCCTTTGCTTTTTGTTTGTTTGTTTTGGCTGCACTGCGCGGCTTGTGGGATCTTGTAGTTCCCCGACCAGAGGTCGAACTCCAGCCCTTGACAGTAAAAATGTGGAGTTCCAACTACTGGAGAACCAAGGAATTCTCCAGTGGGCATCTTTTGAATACTGAAAAAAAATTAATTGATCTGTTTTATGAATAATCACCCCTTAATTTTGTAAAAAGAATTTCTAGGTTGAGATGATTAATGTTAGCTATTATTCCTAATTTTTTTACCTTTTAAAAACTATTTGCAAGCAATAAAAATTATAGAGAAAAGAAAACACCCTTAAAAACCCATTATTGTAGAAGAACTTCTGCTATAACTATTATCATTTATAGATTTTCTATTTGAGTATATTCTCATCATTTTGTGTGTGTGTGTGTGTGTGTGCACTCTGGGTTGGTATCCTGTGAAATTCCACTCATACACACCAAAAAGTGAACAAGGAAATGGCTCTGTAGTTAAATAAGTTACAGAAATGCCATATGCTTATCTTCCTCTTGTAAATGAAGGAATTTTGCTTTGCTCAGCATTTCCCAAAGATATTTGACCACAGAACTAGTTTTTTTTTGCTGTTTTGTTTTGTTCTATAGCAGTTGATAAGTCAGAGACTACATCTGGAAAAATTCTGAAGTTTTTGAGTGAACAGATGACAGGGTTGATGAATGTCTAATTAATAGCCTATTACAGATTAATGATTAATTTCTTTTAAGGGTCTGGAAAAATCAGATAGTTTGGATGTTTGAGGAAGAAACTCTTTCAAAGATGGGACAAAGAGGGAGGTCTGAGTGGGATGTGACTTGAGGGGCCCTGAAAATTTAGGCAAATCCTGAGGGTGCTGTATTTGTTTTCTTTTTTCCTCCGGATTTACTGACATGTAATTGACATATAACATTGTATAAGTTAAACATGTACAATATATTGATATGTTAATATATTGCAGAATGATTACCAGTATAACATTAGCTCATATGTCATCCCATCACATAATCATCATTTCTATTTTGTGTTGAGAGAATTTAATATCAACTCTCTTAGCAACTTTTGAGTATATAATATAGCATTATTAGTTATAATCCCTATTCTGTGCAATAGATCCCAGAACTTGTTGATCTTATAACTAAAAGTTTATTCCCCTTGACCAATATCTCAACATTTCTCCCCACACCCCCCGCCCCCAGCCCCTGGTAACTACCACTCTACTCTCTGTTTCTCTGACTTCAACTTTTTAAGGTTACACATATAAGTGATATCATGCAGTATTTGTCTTTCTCTGACTTACTTCACTTAGCATAATGTTCTCAAGTTTCACCCTGTTTGTCACAAATGGTAGGATTCCTTCTTTCTTGTCACTGGATAATAGTCCATTATGCAGGCACACCTTATTTTATTATACTTGGCTTTATTGTGCTTTGCACATTTTCTGTTTTTTACAAATTGAGGGTTTGTAGCAACCCTGCATCGAGCGGGTCTTTCAGCACCATTTTTCCAACAACATTTGCTCACTTTTTGTATCTTTGTCATATTTTGGTAATTGTCACAATGTTTCATACTTTTTCATTATTATTGTATTGTTATCTATAATCAGTGACCTTTGATGTTAATTATTGTAATTGTTTTGCCATTTTTTAGCAATAACTTCTTTCTTTTTAAATTTATTTTTAATTGAAGTATAATTGATTTACAATGTATTAGTTTCTGGTGTATAGCAAAGTGATTTAGTTACACATATATATGTATTATTTTTCATATTTTTTCACTATGGTTTATTACAGGATATTGAATATAGACTTGTGCTATATTGTAGGACCTTGTTGATTTATCCTTTTTTTTTTTTTGGCCATGCCACACAACTTGTAGGATCTTAGTTCCCTGACCAGAGATTGAACCTGGGCCATGGCAGTGACAGTGCCAAGTCCTAACCACTGGACCACCAGGGAATTCCCTATTCATTCTATATATAATAGTATGCATCTGCTAATCCCAAACTCCCAATCTATCCCTCTCTGACCCACCTGCCCCTTGGCAACCACAAGTCTGTTCTCTGTGTCTGTGAATCTGTTTCTGTTTCATTTGTGTCATACTTTAGATTCCACATATAAGTGATATATAATATTTGTCTTTGATTTACTTCACTTAATATGATAATATCTACGCCCATCCATGGTACTGCAAATGGCATTATTTCATTCTTTTCTATGGCCAAGTAGCATTCTGTTGTATATATATGTACCACATCTTCTTTATCCATCCATTAATGGACATTTAGGCTGTTTCCATGTTTTGGCTATTAGCAATAAAGTATTTTAATTAAGGTATGTTTACATTTTAAAATGCATAATGCTATTGCACACTTAACAGACTACAGTATAGTGTAAACTTAAGTTTTGAATGCAATGGGAAACAAAAACATTCATGTGACTCATTTTATTGTGATATTTGCTTTATTGCAGTGGTTTGGAGCCAGAACCACAACACCTCTGTGTATGCCTATTTGTAGACTTCCTTGGTGGTTCAGTGATAAAGAATCCACCTGCCAGTGCAGGAGATATGGATTCAATCCCTGGGTCAAGAAGATCCCCTGGAGGAGGACATGTCAACCCACTCCAGTATTCTTGCCTGGGAAATCGCATGGACAGAGGAGGCTGGCAGGCTATAGTCCATGGGATCACGGAAGAGTCAGACACGACTTAGCAACTAAGCAACAACAAATGCCTACTTGTATGTGTGTATACATATACAGACATATACATCTCCACATCATCTTTATTGATTCATCTGTTGTGGATGAACACTTAAGTTGTTTCCATACATTGGCTATTGTGAGTAATCCTTCATTGAATATGGGTGTGCCAATATCTCTTTGAGATTCTGTTTCCATTCTCTATGGATACATGTCCAAGAAGTGGGATTGCTGGAACATATGATAGTTCTTTTTTATTTTTTTTGAGAAACCTCCATACTGTTCTTCACAGTGGCTGCACCAATTTACATTCCCACCAACAGTGCATAGTATCCCCTCTTCTCCACATCCTCACCAATACTTGTTATCTCTTGTCTTTTCAAAGATAGTCATTCTAGCAGATGTGAGGTCATATCTCATTCTGGTTTTGATATGCATTTATTTCCCTTACAATTTGTTATGTCAAGCACTTTTTAATGTACCTGTTGGCCATTTATATGTCTTTTTTGGAGAAATGTCTATTCAGGTCCTTTGCCCAGTTTAAAAATGGTCTATTTGTTTTCTGCTTATTGAGTTGTATGAGTTATTTTTATATTTTGGTTATTAACCCCTTATCAGGTATATGATTTACAAATTGTTCTCCCATTCCGTAGATTGCCATTTGATTTTGTTGAGAGCCTCTTTGCTGTGCAGAACTTTTTAGTCCCACTTATTTACTGATATAGTCCCACTTATTTATTTTTGCTTTTGTTGCTTGTGCTTTTGGTGTCATATCTAGGAAATTGCTGCCAAAGAGAAATGTCAAGGAGCTTTTCTCCTATGCTTTTTTCCTAGGAATTTTATAGTTTCAGGTCTCATGTTTGCCTTTAATGCATTCCAAGTTAATTTTTGTGAGTGCTATAAGATAGCAGTCCAACTTCATTCTTCTACATATGATTACCCAGTTTCCCCAGTTTCCCAGCACCATTTATTGAAGAGACACTTCTTTCCTCATCTAGTATTTTTGGCCTGCTTATCAAATATTAGTTAATCATGTATGCAAGGGTTTACTTATGGGCTCTTAATTCTGTTTATGTGTCAAATTTTTATGCCAATATCACCCTGTTTGGATTACTATAGCTTTGCAGTATGGTTTGAAATCAGGAAGTGTGATGCCCCCAGCTTTGTTCTTCTTTCTCAAGATTGCTTCAGCTATTTGGGGGTCTTTTGTGACTCCATACACATTTTTGGATTGTTTTTATATTTCTGTGGAAAATGTTAGTAGAACTTTTATAGGGATTGCATTGAATCTATGGATGCCTTTGGGTAGTAAAGGCATTTTAGCAATACTAATTATTCTGATCCATGAGCTTGGGATATGTTTCCATTTGTGTCTTCTTCAGTTTCTCTCATCAAAATTTTTAGTGTACAGATCTTTTATCTCCTTGGTTAAATTTATTCCTAAGTATTTGATTGTTTTTGATGCTGTTGTGAATGGGAAGCTTTTTCACGTGCTTTGTTGTTAGTGTATAGAAATGCAGCTGTTTTCTGAATGTTGATTTTTTTTATCCCACAACTTTGCTGAATTCATTGTTTAGTTCTAACAGTTTTTTGGTGACATCTTTAGGGTTTTCTATATATAAGATCATACTACCTGCAAATAAAGGTAATTTTATTCCTTCTTTTACTGTTTGGATGCCTTTATTTCTTTTTTTCACCTGATTATTCTGACTAGGACTTCCAGTACTGTATTGAGTAGGAGTGATGAGAGTGGGTGAATTTAACTCAGATGACCATTATATCTAATACTGTGGGCAGAAATCCCTTAGGAGGAATGGAGTAACCATCATAGTCAACAAAAAAATGCAGTACTTGGATGCAATCTCAAAAATGACAGAATGATCTCTGTTCGTTTCCAAGGCAAATCATTCAATATCACCGTAATCCAAGCCTATGCCCCAACCAGTAACACTGAAGAAGCTGAAGTTGAATGGTTCTATGAAGACCTACAAGACCTTTTAGAACTAACACCCCAAAAAGATGTCCTTTTCATTATAGAGGACTGGAATGCAAAAGTAGGAAGTCAAGAAACACCTGGAGTAACAGGCAAATTTGGCCTTGGAGTACAAAATGAAGCAGGTCAAAGGCTAATAGAGTTTTACCAAGAGAACACACTGGTCATAGCAAACACCCTCTTTCAACAACACAAGAGAAGACTCTACACATGGACATCACCAGATGGTCAACACTGAAATCAGATTGATTATATTCTTTGCAGCCAAAGATGGAGAAGCTCTATACAGTCAGCAAAAACAAGACCAGGATCTCACTGTGGCTCAGATCATGAACTCCTTATTGCCAAATTCAGACTTAAACTGAAGAAAGCAGGGAAAACCACTAGACCATTCAGGTATGACCTAAATCAAATCCCTTATGACTATACAGTGGAAGTGAGAAATAGATTTAAGGGACTAGATCTGATAGACAGAATGCTTGATGAACTATGGACAGAGATTCGTGACATTGTACAGGAGACAGGTATCAAGACCATCCCCATGGAAAAGAAATGCAAAAAGGCAAAATGGTTGTCTGAGGAGGCCTTACAAATAGCTGTGGAAAGAAGAGAAGTGAAAAGCAAAGGAGAAAAGAAAAGATATTCCTATTTGAATGCAGAGTTCCAAAGAATAGCCAGGAGAGATAAGGAAGCTTTCCTCAGCAATCAGTGCAAAGAAATAGAGGAAAACAACAGAATGGGAAAGACTAGAGATCTCTTCAAGAAAATTAGAGATATCAAGGGAACATTTCAGGCAAAGATGGGTTCGATAAAGGACAGAAATGGTATGGACCTAACAGAAGCAGAAGATAAGAAGAGGTGGCAAGAATACACAGAAGAACTATACAAAAAAGATCTTCACGAGCCAGATAATCACAATGGTGTGATCACTCACCTAGAACCAGACATCCTGTAATGTGAAGTCAAGTGGGCCTTAGAAAGCATCACTACGAACAAAGCTCATGGAGGTGGTGGAATTCCAGTTGAGCTATTTCAAATCCTGAAACATGATGCTGTGAAAGTGCTGCACTCAATATGCCAGCAAATTTGGAAAACTCAGCAGTGGCCACAGGACTGGAAAAGGTCAGTTTTCATTCCAATCCCTAAGAAAGGCAATGCCAAAGAATGCTCAAACTACCGCACAATTGCACTCATCTCACACGCTAGTAAAGTAATGCTCAAAATTCTCCAAGCCAGTCTTCAGCAATATGTGAACTGAGAACTTCCAGATGTTCAAGCTGGATTTAGAAAAGGCAGAGGAACCAGAGATCAAATTGCCAATATCCACTGGATCATCAAAAAAGCAAAAGAGTTCCAGAAAAACATCAATTTCTGCTTTATTGACTACACCAAAGCCTTCGACTGTGTGGATCACAATAAACTGTGGAAAATTCTGAAGGAGATGGGAATACCAGGCCACCTGACCTGCCTCTTGAGAAACCTGTATGCGGGTCAGGAAGCAACAGTTAGAACTGGACATGGAACAACAGACTGGTTCCAAATAGGAAAAGGAGTACGTCAAGGCTGTATATTGTCACCCTGCTTATTTAACTTCTATGCAGAATACATCATGAGAAACACTGGGCTGGAAGAAGCACAAGCTGGAATCAAGATTGCCAGGAGAAATATCAATACCATCAGATATGCAGATGACACCACCCTTATGGCATAGAGTGAAGAGGAACGGAAAAGCCTCTTGATGAAAGTGAAAGAGGAGAGTGAAAAAGTTGGCTTAAAGCTTAACATTCAGAAAACTAAGATCATGGCATCTGGTCCCATCACCTCATGGGAAATAGATGGGGAGACAGTGGAAACAGTGTCAGACTTCATTTTTTGGGCTCCAAAATCACTGCAGATGGTGATTGCAGCCATGAAATTAAAAGACGCTTACCCCTTGGAAGGAAAGTTATGACCAACCTAGATAGCATATTAAAAAGCAGAGACGTTACTTTGCCAACAAAGGTCTGTCTGGTCAAGACTATGGTTTTTCCAGTGGTCATGTATGGATATTAGAGTTGGACTGTGAGGAAAGCTGAGTGCTGAAGAATTGATGCTTTTGAACTGTGGTGTTGGAGAAGACTCTTGAGAGTCCCTTGGACTACAAGGAGATCCAACCAGTCCATCCTAAAGGAGATCAGTCCTGGGTGTTCATTGGAAGGACTGATGCTGAAGCTGAAACTCCAATACTTTGGTCACCTCATGCAAAGAGTTGACTCGTTGGAAAAGACCCTGATGCTGGGAGGGATTGGGGGCAGGAGGAGAAGGGGACGACAGAGGATGAGATGGCTGGATGGCATCACCGACTCTATGGACATGAGTTTGAGTAAACTCTGGGAGTTGGTGATGGACAGGGAGGCCTGGCGTGCTGTGATTCATGAGGTCGCAAAGAGTCAGACACAACTGAGCGACTGAACTGACTGACTGACTGATGAGAGTGGGCACCCTTGCCTTGTTCCTAACCTTAGAAAGCTTTCCACATTTCACCATTCACTATGATATTAGTTGTGGGCTTGTCATATATGGCCTTTATTATGTTGAGGTGTGTGTCTTTTAAGGGCTTGCCCAGTGGCTCAGTGGTAAAGAATCTGCCTGTAATGTAGGAGGCATGGGAGATGCAGGTTTGATCCCTGGGTCAGGAAGATCCCCTGGAGGAGGGTATGGCAATCGACTCCAGTATTCTTGTCAGTAAAATCTCATGGACAGACGAACCTGACAGGCTACAGTCCATGGAGTCGCAAAGTGTTGGGCATGACTGAAGTGACTGAGCACATGTGTCTTCTATATCCAATCTGTTGAGATTTTTTTATAATGAAAGATGTTGAACTTTGTCTAATTATTTTTCTGCTTCTACTAAGATACATGCTTTTTGTCTTTCATTCTATTAATGTGGTATATCATATTTATTGATTTGAATGTGTTGAATCATCCTTGCATCCCAGGGATAAATCCCACTTTATCATGGTATGTGATCCTTTTAATGTCCTGTTGGGTTCAATTTGAGAATATTTTGTTGAAAATTTTTGCATTTATATGCATCAGGGATATCTATCTATATCTTTTTCTTGTAATGTCTTTACCTGACTTTGCTATCAGGGTAAGTGTTAGCCTTATTAATAAGTTTGGGAATGTTCCCTCCTCTTCAGTTTTTTGGAAGAGTTTGAAAAGGATTGGCTTTAATTCTTCTTTAAATGTTTGGTAGAATTCTCCAGTGAAATCATCTGGTCTTGGAATTTTCTGTTCTGGGAGGTTTTTTTTTATATTACTTATCAAATTTCCTTATTCAGTATAGATCTGTTCAAATTTTCTTTCTTCATGATTCAGTCTTGGTAGGCTATATGTTTCTAGGAATTTATCCATTTCTTCTAGATTATCTGGTTTATTGGCATGTAATTGTTTATTAGTCATCTCTTGTGATCCTTTGTATTTCTGTAGTATCAGTTGTAAAGTCTCCTTTTTCATTTCTGATCTTGAATCATCTCTTTTCTTCTGAGTTAGGCTAGCTAAAAGTTTTTCAACTTTATCTTTTTTAAAAAAGTTCTTATTTTTGCTGATCTTTCTAATGTTTTTTTCTGGCCTCTATTTCACTTATTTCTGTTCTGATCTTTTGTTATTTTATTCCTTCTGCTATCTTTGGACCAAGTTTGTTCTTGTTTTTCTAGTTCCTTGAGGTATAAAGGTAGGTTGTTTATTTGATAATTTTTTTCTTTATGTAGGCATTTATAATTATAAAATTCCATCTTAGAACTGCTTTTGCAGCATCCCATAGGTTTTATTTTTCATTTTTTTAGCTTTTAATTTTGTATTGGGGTATAGCTGATTAACAGTGTTGTGATAGTTTCAGGTGAACTGCAAAGATACTCAGCCATACATATACATGTATCCATTCTCCCACAATCTCTCATCCCATCCAAGCTGCCACATGACATTGAGCAGAGTTCCATGTACTATACAGTATGTCTTTGTTTCTTATCCATTTGAAATATAGCAGTGAGTACATGACCTTCCCAAAGTCCCTCCCTCCATCCCTCCTCCCACCCCCTACAATCATAAATACTTGCTCTAAACTATGAGTGTCTGTTTTGTAAGTAAGTTTTTTTTGTATCATTTCTTTTTAGATTCTACATATAAGGGATTTCATGCAGTATTTCTCCTATCCCATAGGTTTTAATATGGTATACTTCCATTTTCATTTCTTTTAAGATATTTCTTGAATTTTCTTTGGATTTCTTCTTTGACCTTTGGCTGTTCAGGGGCATGTAATTTAATCTCAACATATTCATGAATTGTTCAGCTTTCCTCCAGTTAGAATTTTTTTTTTCTATTACTGTGTAACAAATTACCACAAACTTAGTGGCTTAAAGCAATACACCTGTGTTATCTTACAGTTTCTGTGGCTCCAGAGTCTAGGTGTGGATAAGCTCTGTCCTCTGCTCATTGTCTCACGAGGCTGCCATTGTATATCAGCTGGGCTGC